TGATCACCTACTCAAGACGGGTGAAGGATCGAATGTACTGATCACCTTGACTCAAGACGGGTGTTACTGGAAGGATCGAATGTACTGATCACCTTGACTCAAGACGGGTGTTACTGGAAGGATCGAATGTACTGATCACCTTGACTCAAGACGGGTGTCGAATGTGTTACTTGAAGGATCGAATGTATCACCTTTGACTCAAGACCGGTGTTACTGGAAGGATCTGTACTGATCACTTGACTCAAGACGGGTGTTACTGGAAGGATCGAATGTACTGATCACCTTGACTCAAGATCGGTACTGTTACTGGAAGGATCAAAATGTACTGATCACCTTGACTCAAGACGGGTGTTACTGGAAGGATCGAATGTACTGATCACCTTGACTCAAGACGGGTGTTACTGGAAGGATCGAATGTACTGATCACCTTGACTCAAGACGGGTGTTACTGGAAGGATCGAATGTACTGATCACCTTGACTCAAGACGGGTGTTACTGGAAGGATCGAATGTACTGATGTACTGAAAGATCGAATCACCTTGACTCAAGACTCATGTTACTGGAAGGATCTCATCAATACTCGGGTTTTACTGGAGGTTCTCACTAGGTTCTCACTAGGTTCTCATTAGGTTCTCAGTAGTAGAGAAGGGCATGCTCACCATAGTCCATCCAACATGAGTGATCAGTCTGTTCTTTTACATCTCGTTTCATCATTGTTTACAATGATCTTGTGTCTTTAACGTTCAATGACTCCGGGGCGGTGGGGTAGCCTAGTGGTTAAAGCGTTCTCTCGTCACACCGAGGATCCGGGTTCGATTCCCTACATGGGTACAATGTGTGAAGCCCATTTCTGGTGTCCTCCGCCGTGATATTGCTGGAATATTTCTAAAAGAGGCGTAAAATAAAACTCATTCACTCACTCACTCACTCACTCACTCAAAGAATCGTTTTCTCCCGTGTCACTTAGACTCAGAGTGTTTCTATCATGTGACATAGACAGGGTGATCTGAATGTATCAGGCATACCCCTACAGCTGTGGCGCTCTGAATGTATCAGGCATATCCCTGTGCTGCTTAGTTACATAATCATTACACTGTTGCTGGCCGTTATTCCAAGAGACATCAATGTCTTTGTCGGCTGTAATCTGGCTCCTCTGTCAGGAGTAGGGACTTATATCGACTTGACACCACGAGTTTTAACACTGTGGCGTATTATATAATTTGTCTAATAATGTTTGTGTTTTGTCGTGTAGGGCAGGATGCATGTTAAATTGGGTTTGCTAAAGCACCGTGACGAATGAAATGTACAGCAGATCCGGGTTTTTCCTTTCTTTTTTCTTTCATCTGACAGTCTTGATTGATTTTGCCCGCCATCATAGGAATGTTTTAACACTTAATGTTTTCAGAATTAATTCTTGTAAGCGACCTTGGGCTTCCCAACTGTAAACGTTCTGTTAAGCAGATTTATCCAAGACAACATGATAATTTGCCTTGTCTGTTATTATCAATTTTACAAAATAACGGTCTCGTGTTCTATTTCCTGGAATCTAATAGAACCAGAAGCTCATTTGAATGTTCAGTTTTTCTATTGAAATTCGCACGAAGTAGCTGATTAAGGAATTTCAAAGAAAGTCAGCTCTGTCAAAAATGACACTTTAAAATCTAGTTAAAGCAAAACAGCGACGGTTCGTATCAATTTGTCTGTGGTATCCAGTGTATGGACGCATGCAGGAACCGTACATCGTCCGGATAGCACGGAACGTTTAGTTCCCCCAGACCTAAAATCAATAATCTTCCTGTGGCCCATTTCATGTGCATATTACAGTGAAAGTAGTCTTAGTTCTTCGTATGGATGCAGAGATACAATTTAATGATGCATGCCATCAAAACACCAGAACTGTATCTTCATCCATATCGGTATGCGCTGAGGTTTGAAGCTTGGGTTAAGCACGGAAGGTAAAATATCGTTCTTAAAATAGAGATAGCCCTCTCTCAAGCACGTGGAGGAGGCGAATAAAGGCAGACATGGGGTGATCCTATCTATTTTACCATGAGATACACCTCGGTCAGTGTTAAGCCAGCTATTCTTCACTGCCCGAGGTTTGTCCAGCGCCAGACAAAACCGAATTATTCCACAGTAATGTGTGAATGTCGGATATAGATAATGCACATTAATTTTTCAGGCAGATGTCATGTGCCCAGTCTGGGAACTGGACAATGTGTTCCTGCCTCCGCCAGTGTAGGCAACCGATAACTGGTGATAACCGTCATTATACGACATTAAGGCCAGCGTGGGGGATGACCGCCAGGCTATGACTACCTAAACGAGACCGTACTAAAGGCTAACATTTCTTGAATGGTTTAAAGAACAACTTTACACACTGCGTGTGCATGCATAGATAGACAGATAGTGAGTGAGTGAGTATGGTTTTACGCCGCTTTTAGCAATATTCCAGCAATATCACGGCGGGGGACACCCGAAATGGGCTTCACACATTGTACCCATGTGGGGAATCGAACCCGTGACGAGCGGGCGCTTTAACCATTAGGCTACCCCACCGCCCCTCGTTATTAAGGAACCCGCCAGTCTGTTGTTTGTGTGTGAACGTGGTGCAATCAATTTGCAGGCTCTTGAAACGTCGGAAACATCAGCCCCACGTCAGAGAACATAGGATGCACACCACATAGTGTTAATGATTTAATCCATACATTCTATATGAAACACAAAGCCTGTCCAGAATGGTTTTAGATTCCCAATGTGGGGTAGATGGTGCATTAAACATGAATGGACATTAAGAAACTCTGATGTTGTTATGGTTAACTAGTTTTCAGTGATATCAGTCAATCCTGATAACGATCACGTCCGGTGATGCAGACACGACGTCCACTGACTGGAACCACAAACATGACGTAACGTGCGGGGCTGGTCAAAATAATAGCTGTTGGATACGTTGGGTGGTCAGGCTGGGAGACATAGCTGATAGCATGTCTTCGTACCCATAAGGCATGGGTTATTGTTCACAATATCGACCACTAGCTTGTACAATGCAGATTCGTTTATTCACAGGTCGCCGTCATACTCACTGTTTTTGTTCAGTGCAACAAACAATCTACTGCTGTAGTATACCTTGCCTTGCCTTTGGCTTGTCACTTCCGGGTTGGGGGTCTGCAAAGTGAAACATCTGTAAAGCTCTTTTCTGATACCACCATTCCGATATAAACTTCGATTATGCTAAAATCTGCTACAATGAGTTTTGAGAAAACTTCAGGCACTTACTCGATCATTTCATTGTTAAATATGTAACGGCCGGAAATACGAAAGTCCTGTCTTGGTGTAACATAACATAACGTAGTTTGTGTCTTGTCGATAAGAATCCATACATAGGAAACTATGTTCACAAATATATTCTTCATGGGAGAGGGTTTTTGGTTAATATTCATAGCACTACCAAGGATGTCTGATATTGTGTTCGTAACAAGAGTATTAGGGTAGGCCTCGTTAGTATAAGTTCATGTTGTGTTTAGGTCAACTCATACATATATTTCGCGTTTGCCTGTCCAGTCCTGTCTGAGTTCCTTGGAGTTGATCAAGCGTGTATCTGAGGGGCGCTATGGATGTCCCAAGAGAATGCGTACTTCATGACAGCAAGAAACTGAGTACCTGCACCTTATCAAGTCTCATGATCGATTGTATTGCACATCTCGCAATGATCATATGTCATGTCTTCAGACACCATACAGCCGTCAATAAGACTATGTGTGTACGTTGCCAAAATCACTAAGTCTTCTTTTGATCATCATGACAAAATGTCGACGTTTCTATGATATGTATGTCAGCGGTCTAATTTCCAACTTTTGCGAAAAACAACCAGCACTTGTCGTCAAGATTTAAACTCGACATTTGTGTTTAGCTTTACGGAGCAGACAAGCGTAATGACAGTTTCATTGACACTAATCCACAAGGCAAGCCGCCACACGCTCTACATAGGCGTAATTGAAAACGCATACCAAGTCTTTGGCATCACTCGCCTCGAAGTCGGATGTAATGATATAAACTTTTATCGAATTAGTCATCCACCAAAGTCTCCGACATTATTACCAGCGGGCATACGGCGAATCTTCATAGCGGTAATACGTCATATGATGTAGGACATTACATCGATGCTTCTTGTGAGACGCGGTCTTGCATGCAGCAGAAAACCGCAGAGAGGCAATAAAGTTTGAAAGTACGCCACATTAAGTAGGCTCCCAATCCGAGAGACAAGATATTCCATCATAACGGTCACTTACCGGCCCTTTGAGATTGACAGTTCAGGACTCCAATGCACCATATTGAATGATTCAGTTTGGTATCTGTGAGGTATACTGATCACAACAACGTTGCGATGTGTGCTCCAGTCTGCTATAGGATACCGGTCAGCGATCACAGTAGGTTTTGGGTGATGAGATCATGAAACATAAAGAAATGAAAGAAAACTCGTGTTCATTAGAAGGACGCCAAGCTGCTTCCAGCACAATAGATGTGACCTGGTCATCAGTGCTGGAGTAAACAATTGTATCTGAAATGTATGTCCAATATCAATTATCATGTAACATTCATTGTACAGTTATTCGGGCACACCTACACACATGGAATGACCGTTCATCCGAATAGCAGCATCCAAATTGTTTACACAGCAAACACAAAATGCGACTTTTGATATCGACACAATATCGCACTTCCCTATCGGCTACATACTACATTTGGTAGGCTACATGTACTGTGATACATAATGCCTAGTCTTATTTAGACGTTTGAGACATCGGTTGTAGAATATATTCAGTAGTGGAAATAGAATCTACACAATGGCTCATTCTATTTTAATCATGTTTTGCCATAGTCTGTCACGTGTTTTTGTTCAATTATAATTGGATTGATGGAATTTGAAGTGATTTAACGTTGCCTTTCTATTGCATCCTATGTCTTGGTGCCATGTTGTTTAAATGTCCTTTTATTTTCAGATATAAAAATCTCCGGTCCCAGCTACGTGGAGAAGGGGAATGCACTGCGCCTTGTTTGTAACGCCACCGGAGATGGGTATCCACCCGACGGCATTGACTGGTTCAAGGATGGCCACAAGATCACACAGGACGACCGACTTCACATTCAGATTGTTATGTCCATTGTGGAGAGGACCATAATAAGCTCCTTGTACATCAAGAGAGCCAAGATGACAGATGCTGGGACGTATGTTTGCAGAACATCGGATCTTCAGATTACAAGCACCAAAGTCGTTATTCTCGATAGTAAGTTGCCCCCATATCGGCTGTGGTCATGCCAAACCTTGCCACTCAAGTCGGCTTCCATTTCCCGCTATGATATTTCTATTCTGATGGCTATTCACAGTCACCATCAATTTCCCATATACACGTTTGATATTCACCCTTTAATTCCCATTCACGATCTTATGTTATCTATTGAGCCAGTTGGTGGATCTTGAAGATGGTGAGTATCTGGTAAGATCAACAGCGGTGACTCCGAGCTGTATGCCCCGAGCTGAAGTTGATAATACTCTCGTTTCTTACTGCGTCACGCAGATACAAACATTTGTATACAGCTGTCTTCTCTATCTCGCATATTGATTCTACCAGGAGCTGGCAGCCAGACTTAGTTCAGTGCACTATGGTATAGGGAAGTTGCCAAATTACTTCTGTTGTCGACCGACAGGAACCTGTTAATGGGAATTATTACAACATTATCAATACAACTGCATGGCATAACAGTATCCCTCGGCTGTCGAATCCATTCACGTTAAAATAATAATATTCCGCGATTGTACATGACGTTCGTTGACTTTATACCAGTATTCTCCATTCTTGTAAGATACTGAGACACGAGCGTAGGAAGATAACCCTCCTTGACTACCATTATACTGGTATATTCCCCGACATATTGACGTCAACAACATTACTTTTACCGACCGTGTACCATCTCAACTTTAACATTCACCGAAGGCACACCACCGTTAACACTGGTATATTGCATAACCCTGTTACACACAGCCGTTAACACTGCCGTTAACACTGGTATATTGTCTAACCCTGTAACACACTACCGTTAACACTGGTATATTGTCTAACCCTGTAACACACCACCGTTAACACTGGTATATTGCCTAACCCTGTTACACACTGCCGTTAACACTGGTATATTGTCTAACCCTGTTACACACTGCCGTTAACACTGGTATATTGTCTAACCCTGTAACACACTACCGTTAACACTGGTATATTGTCTAACCCTGTAACACACTACCGTTAACACTGGTATATTGTCTAACCCTGTAACACACTACCGTTAACACTGGTACATTGCCCAACCCTGTAACACACTACCGTTAACACTGGTATATTGTCTAACCCTGTTACACACTGCCGTTAACACTGGTATATTGCTCTAACCCTGTAACACACCCTGTAGCCGTTAACACTGGTATATTGCCTAACCCTGTAACATTGGTACTACCGTTAACACTGGTATATTGCCTAACCCTGTAACACACTACCGTTAACACTGGTATATTGTCTAACCCTGTTACACACTGCCGTTAACACTGGTATATCTGTAACACACTCCGTAACCCTGTAACACACTACCGTTAACACTGGTATATTGCCTAACCCTGTAACACACTACCGTTAACACTGGTATATTGTCTAACCCTGTAACACCTACCTTTAACACTGGTACTACCTACTGTTAACACTGGTATATTGCCTAACCCTGTAACACACTACCTTTAACACTGGTATAGTCTCTAACTGTAACACACCCTGTGGTATACTCTACCCTGTACCTACCTTAACACTGGTATAGTCTCTAACCCTGTAACACACTGACGTTACCACACTGTAACACACCTTGTAACACTGGTATAGTCTCTAACCCTGTAACACACTACCTTTAACACTGACGTTAACACTGGTATAGTCTCTAACCCTGTTACACACTACCTTTAACACTGGTATAGTCTCTAACCCTGTAACACACTACCTTTAACACTGGTATAGTCTCTTACCCTGTAACACACTGACGTTAACACTGGTATAGTCTCTAACCCTGTTACACACTACCGTTAACACTGGTATAGTCCCTAACCCTGTTACACACTGACGTTAACACTGGTATAGTCTCTAACCCTACTACACACTACCGTTAACACTGGTATAGTCTCTAACCCTGTTACACACTGACGTCGACGTTAACACTGGCATATTCCCCGACTCTGTAACGCACTGACGTCGACGTTAACACTGGCATATTCCCCGACTCTGTAACGCACTGACGTCGACGTTAACACTGGTATATTCTCCGACTGTGTTACGCACTGAATGATACTATAAAACACTGGCGGCGTTAACATTGCTAAATTCTCTGAACAGGGCATCACTTAGGACCCACTTGGGATTCATTCACCCGTATTCAGGACGTACACGTAACTCAGTATATGCTTGCTACAAAGTCGCGTTCATATTTCGTTTCGGTCGATCATCTGTTGCCATTTCATCACTGTGCTTCCCCGACGAATCCCAAATAGAGGAAAGTCATTTTGACCAGTAGTGTATTTTGTATATTGATTATGCAGAAGGCGTTGTCTTGGGAGGCATGCTTCAACGGAGTCAAAATTCTAAAGCTGTATTTCACTCCTTGTAATTTTGATATTATGTTGGTTAATTTAAGTGTAAAACACCAGAATTAACTTGTGTTGTCTTGTAGAAATGTACATGATGGTTTCATGGCGTGAGGGATAAAATACAATGCTGTTTGTGACTTCTAATTTTCATACAAGACATTCATTCTCTGTTTGATTTATACTTGCTAAGTGGGTTAGATTAATGACTTTACTTTGTAGTGCGATTGTTATGTCCCTAGTTGGCTGTTTGAGCGTGGGCTATTAAGCCTTTTAACGTGATTGTTACATCAAGCATGTAAGAAAGGCAATAATTTAGGACATCAGATGCTTACAAAAGCAGACATAACAGTTCGATGTGTTCCTGCCTTCGGAAATGTGATAACTTGTGAGAGGAGAATACCTTGAAGTATTCCTCTTTCAGATCGTCAAGGCAAACTTCATTGTCAATGTCAAATTCCACTTCAAGACGTTTAAGAACATCTAATGTAGTAATTTGGGCGTTATGATGTGTAACGGATAGGGAAATCACTCGAGTAAAATGTTAGCGTTTCACAATTATAAGGCTTTTACCGTGGTTTACTGACGATGGGTATTACTGGGCTGTTTGTTTTACACTGACGGCATTGCGCCCATTAGGGTCTGGCATCAAAGTTACAGTCTTTAATTTCAAGAAATCGCCCATTACTATTATTCAAACTGGCGCCAGAATACCTTGTCCGCTTGACAATCAAACAGACCTAATCTGAAAAAATATATTCATTTTCACTACTAACGACATGATGCAATCAGACATGTTAAAACCATCATTCATGCGAAATTTGTTTCAAATGACAAATAAACTCTCATTTTCCTCTACTAAAATCATAATATTTACAATCGCCAGCAAGGATTTGAATGTATGTCTCTACAGACTGTGTCTGCGTCCCTCAAACCCATCTTCTTCCAATACGACTAAGATTACAACGTTGTGATATGGAGTCTATATTACCCTCGTCTCAATTGACTACCCCTGACAACCCCAGATAATATATTGCGTAGGTAAATACACACTCCGCCGCCTCAGATACAAATAGGACGATGTATTTGCCCACGTTGTGATGTACAACGACGTCGTTGATGATGGCGTGGCGTGTTTGATTAGGAAGATGAGTGTGACAAATCTGCCCTTCCCAATGAGTGGACGCAGCTCACGGAGCGTGAGGGAGAAGTTGTCGTGGCTGCAGCTCGTTAGACGAACCTCGGCGTTACTGCTGCTGGATGGATAGAGCAAGCACACAACCTATAATAGCAGTGGCTAGCGATAAAAGAACTTCATAGTGCTTTATATGCATACACTAAGCAAAAGTTCCAGTAGAGGAGTAGACCAAGTCCACAACCTATAATGCTTAACTATCTGAGGATGAAAGAAGCTGTTCAAGCAGTATATGCATATTATGGCACTAAGCATCACTAGCGGTGGATAAGTGCAGGGCGCGCCACATATTACAGAAGAAGAACAACCATCGGCAAAAGATCTCTCAAATTAGTAATGTAATGTTTGCACAGACTAAGCTCGACTGCTTGGTAGGGCAAGCTGAGATACAAGTAGGACTAATAACTAACGATAACAGAAGTCGTTAATGTAATATATGTATACAGACTCACAGTGAGTGTACACTATCACGACCTCAGAGAGAGTCGTTTGGTTCAGTTACTGCTGAATTGTAAAATGCCGACTTGCGTTTTTAATGATTACTCAAAACCAATACGTTCCTCCTGCCGTGACACTCGTGACTGTAACATCTGTATATTGTTGAACATACTGCCACGGTGTGCTTAATTGTCTTGGAATAATGCTTAACAACAATACCATGCCACGGCACTAGAATATGTAGCAAAACTGATATGGATTAATTTCCCTTATGAATTAAATATATGATGCGACACATAGACGAACCGTAACTCCAGACTGATGTGCATCGAGCCTCGTGTGCCCCAGTATTCTCATCTTCATCTTCCCTGGGATCATTTTCATGCCAGTTCATTTATGTCTTCAGGGGCCATTTGTCTCTTGATTTATGTTTATTTAGTGCTCTGACAAATTCACTAGACTAAAGGTAGGCTTGTTAAGGTCTTGCCGGCCGTCGGGGAAATGGCTGTTAAGACCATGTTTTATCTTGGTGAACTCACTAAAGGCACAAGTAGCCTCATCATTCAAGTCGCCACTAGCTATTATCCGCAGCTGAGAACAGTCCCTGGATGTTTGTATAACACGGATCACACACCTGTTATGATTGTTCTGGAATAAGTAACGTCCTACGGCCGAGTATCACCCTCAATACAACATGATTAGTGCTGATGCATGGGAGTCGATTGGGTCCCCGGTGTCAGGGGTTGTCAAACAAACGGAACAGGTTGACAAGGATATGACAACCAACGCCATTTGTCCCTGTGTAGTTGCTTTGTACCTTTAAACCTAACAGTAAACGTAGCACTCGTGATACGGGGGACATATGTCTGAATATTCCTAAACGTCGTGATTAGTTACATGTGTGCCACCTAGGAGAAGGTCGTGTTGGGTGAAACAACGGCACCAGTTCTGTTCATGCATTAGTGTTATCAGTTTGTCAGTAG